TAAAAGGCTTCTACACTGCAGGGGGAAATCACCAACAGAGTGAAGAGAAAACTTGCAAAATGAGAAAAAGATTTCTAGCTACTCCTTAGACAAATAACTAATATCTAGAATATAGAGAACTAAAAAAAACAAAAAACAAAATTATACTCCCCAAATTAATTAGTTAATTAATTAATTTTTGGTCTTTTTGAGATAGTGTCTTACTATGCAGTTCAGACTGGACTTTAGCTCGCTTTCTGGCCCAGGCTGGTCTCAAGCTCACAATTCTCCTGCCTCAGCCTCCTGAGTGATGGGATTACAGGTGTGTGCCACCACGCCCAGCAACTCCCTAAATTTAAAGACTCAGTCAAAGCTGGGGATCTGAAATGAATAGATACTTCTCAGATGAAGAAATACAAATAGTTGGGCATGGTGGTACACACCTGTAATCCCAGCACTCAGGAGGCTGAGGCAGGAGGATTGCCATGAGTTCAAGGCCAGGTTGTCCATTTCTTTTTCTTTTTTTGTATTTAGTACAGGGTCTACAGGGTCTACAGGGGCTTACTACGTAGATCGGACTTGTAGTGATTCTCCAGTTTTTCAGCCTCCCAAATGCTGGGATTGCAGGCATGCGCCACCACACCCAGTCTCATGTGGAGCTGGGGACTGAACCGCGATATCCTGAGCCTGACTGCGTTTGTACAAGCAGATGCTTAAACAACTGAGCTAACTGGCAGGCTCCTTGATTTTTTTTTAAATACAAGTTAATCTTTTTTTTTTTTTTTAGACTTTTGTAGAGATTATCTGAGTCCTAGATTATTCCAAAATATTTGTCTTTGTCTTTTCCAGGCATCCTGGGAGGCACTGACAGCCAGAGCTGTGACTTCTTTACAGTGTAACCACCGGATAGCTCTGGGAGCCCTGGCAGAGTCAGTCTGGGTGGTTGCAAATGCAGTGTGTGTTAGGAATTTCAGGATTCCCCCCTCCCCACAGCCCCCATGCTCCTACTAACACAGAGTTTTCTGTCCTACTTCATGGTGTACATTTATTTCCAGCACTCTGTGATAGGTGTGTAGTCCTTTGACACTGCAGGATCTTTCTCCTCCAGTACTGGGGATTGGCTTCATATTTATTTATTTTTTGTGGTTCTTGGGGTCAAACCCAGGGCCAACTGGTAGGTAAGTGACCTACTACTTAGCTACACCCCAGACCCTTAATGTAGATAGATAAGGTTCATAGTGAAATAAGCCACTGGTGACAGAAAGCACAATAATTTCCTGTAATTACACGGGATTAGAAGTATGTCAGTAGGGGCTGGTGAGATGGCTCAGTGGTCTAAAGCACCTACTTAGAACAAGCTTAGCAAAGCACATGGACCGTGGTTCAATCCCCCAGCACCACATGCCAGCCAGCCCCGCCCCCTGGGGCTGAGCTGGCCACACATACAATAAATAAATGTAAAATAAATAAATAAATAAAATTTAAAAAAAGAAGTATGTCAGTGAATATGAGCGAATAAGCTTGAAGGTATATTGAAGCTTGATTGTTCTCATTTAATAATGTTTTCAAGATCTTTTCAAGTCACGCATAAAAGTTTTTTATAATGACAAATGAGGTGGCTCACACCAACCCTCTAGCTGAAGATGACTAGAAAAGCTGAACAAAATACCACAAACATTGTTTACTAAAATTGACAGTGAAATAACAAGGTAAAGATGATCAGACCAGTGTAGAAAAGTTTTCTGCTAGCTGACTATGCTCCATCAAATTTTTTTTTTTTCATAGAAACTCTTTACCCAAAGGATTTTCCTTTCATTTTATGGGCCAACCTAAATTACAAGGGATATGGGAAATTTGTTTTTAAATCTGATTTTCCAGTTGAGCATGATGGCACATGCCTACAATCCTGGTACTTAGGAGGCTGAGGTAGGATTGCATGGTGTTGGAGGCTAGCCTAAACTAATAGCATGACTCCACTTTAAACAAAATAGCATTTTTAATTATATTTTAATTGACTTTTTGAGATAGACTCTTGATGAGATACCCAGGTTGGACTAAATTCTTCTTTCTGCCTCTGCCTCCAGAGTAGCTAGGATTGCAGATACAAACCAGCTTTATCCTTCATTAGATGTGTACATGGTCTCGTGTGAGATTATTCTGTTTCTAATGAAATGAGAACAAATATTGCAATGAAAATCAATGGGTTATACAAAAATATTGTTTGCTATAAGTTTGACTTAGGCAAAATGTCAAAAACAATAGACACTATAAAAACTTTATTTGTGTATTTGTTGAAAGTCATTGATTTTATTCATCAATTTAGGATTAATATTTATGCCACATTTCAATTACCGATGTTAACTGTTAAGTCCCTTGCCAATGTCATCCATGTTTATTTCACCTTATTCATATTGTCTTTACCCAACATTATGTATGTACCCTGATATTTCCTTAAAAAGATGAAAAGAAAAAATAAAGAAATGTGTGATCCTGGCTTCTCATTTTCCAATGGAAATAGGAAGATTTATGCTTTAAGAAATATACTGCTTGTTCCCTTAAGAATGTTACAGTGGAAATAAAAAAGAATGTTACAGTGACTGGCTTCGCTGTTCTTATCTTTTTAGGGAACATACAGAGTGTGTCAGTGTTCTGAATAAAGTAGAATACACTCGCCTTAGGAAAACGGAACGTATAAGCCCACAACTCTAGGATATTCAGAGATACTTGGAGTAGCCATTCCTGACTCTCCCCCTACTCAGCATACTCTGCTTCAACAAGGTTGTAAGTTTGACACCCAGGAAGCTGGGGTCTACTGATGTGAGCCGTGGTCAATTCTCTCTCCACGACCATGGTTCAGTTAAGACTGCCACCGACCCTAGATGGAGGAATAACTCCAAAAGGAAAGGTCCCAGGTTGAAATACCTGTGTGTAGACAAAACCCAAGGCAGATCACGTGCCTCCACGCTGATGCTTGACAGTCAGAAAGCAGTCTAGAAAACTCAGAATTAAGGTAACCATATGTTATGGTTTATATCTAGATGTCCCCCAAAGCCTCATGACCTCATAAGTGGGGCTTTTGGGAGTTGACTGGACCATGAGGGTGTGATACTTATCAGTGGATTAGTAAAGTCATCATTTTTTTTTATTTGTTTTCATTTTTTGAGACTGAGTTTTGCAACGTAGTTCAGGCAGGCTTTGAAACTCACTACATATGTAGCCCAGGCTGGCCTTGGACTCCTGAGTGCTGGGATTACAGGTGTGTATCACTACACCCAGTTGTTCATCCATTTAAAATTAACAACTCTGCCACATTTCAATTATAGAGTTTTACTGTTAAGTCTTTGGCCAATGTCACCCATATTTGATTGTTTACTCATATGGTTTTGTTTTATTTGTTTTTGTTTTTGTTTTTGGTACAAGGGATTGGACTCAGGACCTTGTACTTGCCAGGCAGGTACTTGTGCTGTTGGTCTGTTTCCCCAGCTCACATGGTCTTTAATAGCACCCAACATGAAGTATGCACCCAAATATTTGATGAATAGGTGAAAAAATGTGATCCGAGCTCCACTGATGAGTTATAGTTAAATGTCAAGGTAGGAGGTGAAGCCTGGGGGTCCCAGGAGATGCAGCCTGGGCCTGTCCCCTTCCTTCTCCATGATCACTGCTTCCTGCAGCCATGAACTGCTTCTCCTTTCTCATGCCACCCTGCCCTGGAACCAGCTCACTATGGACTGAATCCTTTAATACCAGATAAACCTTTCCTCATTAGAGCTGTGGTGCTGGATGTCTCAGTGATGAAGGAAGTAACTAAGGCGTCATACATTTTGCCCAGGATATTCTCATTTACATCTTTCCACCTAGTGTAGGTTTCCCTTTTGTTTGACACGGTCTTGCTGAATTTCCTTGGCTGGGCTTGAACTTGTGGTCATCACATGTTGGTCTCCCAAGTAACTGGGATTACAGACATGTGACACCACACCTGGCTTTCTAGTACAGTATTGTTTTCTTTTCCTTTTTGGGGGAATTCAACCCCAGGCCTTCCCATATCCCCTGGTCCTTTAAAAACTTTTTTTTTTTTTCCTATTTTTTGAGATAGAATTTGGCTAAGATGTTAATTGCCCAGGCAGGGTTTCAATTTGTCATCTGCCTGCTTCAGCCTCCCCAGAGTGCTAGGACTGCAGGCATGTGCTGCAATGCTCAGGTTTCATGCTTCATTTTTTTTTTTAATATTTATTTATATATTTATTTAGTGTGTGGCCAGCTCAGCCCACCAGGGGGTGGGCCGGCCGGCATGTGGTGCTGGGGGATTGAACCGTGGTCCCTGGGCTTTGCTTGAGCTTAGCTTGTTCTAAGTAGGTGCTTTAGACCACTGAGCCATCTCACCAGCCCCTCATGCTTCATTTTATTTTTTATTTTTTTATTCTTTTTTTTTTTTTTTTTTTTTGCGGAACCAGGGATTGAACTCAGGCCCTTGTGCTTGCCAGGGAAGCACTTATTCCACTGAGCCATCTCCCCGGCCCCTTATTCTTTATTTTTTTGTGGAAGCGGGGATTGAACTCAGGCCCTTGTACTTGCCAGGGAAGTGCTTATTCCACTGAGCCATCTCCCCGGCCCTCATTTTGTTTTTATTTTTAAAGTCAGGTTTTCTTTATATAGTATAGGCTGGCCTTGAACTTTTGATCCTCCTGTCTCAGCCTCCAGATTGCAATGTCTACAGGTGTGAATGACCTGGTTTCTAGCGTAGTTGTTAAAACACATACACACACAACCACGACAACAATCACAACCACCACCACCACCACCACCACAACAACAATGCCTTTCATTGAACTTCAGTCCCATCAGGACTTTCCTGCAGTCCCTGAACTCCAAAGAGTTCAAGTTTGGAGAGCTGATGGCATGGATTATCAATCACGCATGAACATCTAACTCAGCGGGAGCAGCACTTCACTAGTTCTTAGATTTATTTGTCCACCTGCAATCCGTTCCCGAACCCAGTCCTCCCGGAGTTATTGCTGTGCTCACTCGCTGTCCTCTCCCTCGGGCTCTGCCCAGACTTTGATCCCTCTGATCTGGAGCCAAGAGTCTTGAGATGCCAGCACTAGCAACTTGATACAACTTATTTCCTCTGTAGAATCTTCATAAAATACCCTCTGGTCGAAATTCCCTGCCACCAGGGGCCCCAGAATGGTGTAGTGAGCACAGCCTTTGAAATTCTCCAGGCGGTTGTAGCCCAAGAGCACTTGCCCTTGCTCCAGCCGGAACATCCTTTTGCTTTCAGAGCCTGTGTGCACTACGATCCGGGTGACCTTTTGTGGTCTATCTAGAACCACCAGGAGGTAGTTGCCTTGCAGAGGATCCAGGGTGGAGAAGGTGTCCTCGCTCAGGACATAGGCGTACTGTGGGAGGTCTTTCTTGGACATCATGTCAGTGAAGACGACAGCAGCAGGGTTGTCTGGCTCACCAAAGTACTCAGCCTCCTCAGCAGGAAAGCAGGCAGCCTCAGTCTCAGAATAATTGCCCATGTGGAAGAACATGGAGGTACCAAAACGAATCGGTACATTTTGATCAGACAAAAGAGGGAGTTCAGAGAGAAGCAGGTGAGTGGGAGTGTCCTCGGGGAAGAGGAGGAAGAAGGAAGCCAGGCGGGTGAGGTCATGTGTGTGGAAAACTTGCCCAGAAAATCTCAGGCTGGAGAACTCTAGGACCACCCAAGGGAGGTCCTTCCAGGCCAGCGCCGCCCAGTAAATGGCAGACATGAATCTGGGGGCACACCGGACTCTGTCCTCCATCAGCAGGAAGTACTCAGAAAGGTTGCTGGCAAAGTGCATGAGGAGGGCATAATCTACCTTCTGCCTGGAATAAAGTGACTGGCAGGTGGAGAACTGGTTCTCATGCCTCAGTGCGGAGCCACCGAGGAGACCATGGACCACGAGCAACTTGCGGGCCTCCAGTTGTGGCGCAAAGACCTCTGAGATACTGGTGACTGTCTGTCTGAGCCAAGCAGGGTCAGGGTCTGACAGGTGGACCAGCACCAGCATGCACTCCAGGTCGTGTGCTGAGGAAGCTTGGAACAGGGACCGCAGGGTTGCCAGGAGGTAGGTGCCGTGGGGTCGCTGCACTGAGGGAATCCCCACCGTCAGCAGCTCTGGGGGAGACAAAGACCTTTAGTGCCTCGGGATGGTGGAGAGGTCCCAGGCCTCCCCCCAGACCTCCCTTTCCCCCTGTAACAAATTCACTTTTCTTTTCCTCGGGTGAGTGTGGGACACAGGGGAGAGGACCAGATGTGATTGGAAGAGGTTTGGGGCTTGCTGGGGAAACTGCAGAGGTGAGACTCGCCTGTAGGGGAGGCCACCATATACCAAGGTCAGGTTAGCTGGCTTGGCCAAATGTCTTAGCTTGGTTTGACATTCAGAGTTACCCAGCCACCATGGACCACACTGAACAGGCTTAGAGGGTCTGCACGGACCCACCTAAGTCCAGGATCTGGCAGTTCAGGTCACTGAGTCACAGGCTATACTCCCCCTACCCAGGTGTTTGCTTTCTTCTCCTTCCACTCAGTTGTTTTCTTTGTTTCCTGCAAGTCAAATGAAAGGCCAGTCTGCCATTGAGCTACAGTCCACTGAGCCATCTGATTTTGGTCTTTTGGGGATAGGGTCTTGCATGCAGTTTAGGCTGGTCCTCAGCTCACTTTGCAGCCCAGACTGGCCCTGAATTTGCAGTAATCCTCCTGCTTTAGCCTCCCAAGTGCCAGGTTATAGGCATCAATCAGTTCTTTCCCCTACAGCTGCGCTGGCTCCCTGCCTCCCCTCCCTGGGGCCACCATTATTGAGCTTCTCCCTGGGAGGGCTCCTCCACCTGTCCCCTTGACCTTATCCCTGCTGAGCTGTAGGACCTAGGCTGGTGGGAGAAGAATGCGCTCAGCACTGCCTCTGCCACTAGCCCTGGCTCAGTTGCTCTCCTGTTGTAACCAGCTGCCAGCTTGGTTCAGTCTGTTGCCCCTCCCTCCCTTTGCCTTGCTAACCCTCCAGTCTGACCTTCCCTCGGCCTGGCTACCCTCCCACACACTCACTCTTTTCCTGGGGTGCGGCTCCAGCCAGGAGGGTGTATGTGGTGTATTGGAGTAGAGGAGAGATTTTCTGCCTCTCTCCAAAGTATTCTGCAAGTTTCTTGACTTCAGAGTTGGTTTGATCCTGAACTATCTGCAGAGCTATGTCATCCTTTCCCTTCAGAGGCAAGAGGGACAAGTGTCAGCCCTAAGGTTAATCAGAGCCTCTGGAGAAAAGTGAGGGTCACATCCCCCTCCAGGAGAAGGTGGGAGTGCCCAGATCCAGGGCTCAGGAGCCTTGAGTGAGGCTCAGCTAACAGCTCACCCCACCTCATACAGAGGTGCCCAGGGTTTTGCAGCAGAAGCTCCCAGGATGATGTGCAGTGTCTTTTGGGAAGTCCTTGGCTCAGGCTGGGGAAGGGTTCACCTGCCCTGCCCTGCTGCACCCTGCATTCCATTTCTCTACCATTGACAAACACAGCTGAACCTGGCTTCTGCAGCATGGGGTCCTAGGAGATGCTGAAGCCCGATTCTGATTGTGTTCAAAGGGACCTTGCACACATTGCCTCCATCTTACTCCTAGCTTTGCCCCCTCCCAAGTCTGCACCACCCCCGCCACTCCTTGGGCTTGTTCTGCCTGATCTGAGGCATCTTAGAAAATAGGGAGATTCCAAATCATCAGCTTGCCCTGTGTGCTGCTAGGTCTTCCACATGCAGATGATTCCTCTTGGGAAGGTTACTTCAGATCCTTCATGTGAGCAGAAGAGCACCTCCAGGGCTGCAGGCTGTACTTACATTGATAGCCCTCAACGTAGCTACGTGTCATTCTCTCCCCACTTAAGATACCCTCCTCTCTTCTCTGGCCTTAGTCACATCTTATGCATATATGAAATCTGGTTTTAAAGTTCAACTCTTGCCCAGGCCTGGTGTATGAGACGACCCAGGGCCGCTGGATCCTGAATAATTCCAGAGCACAGGCCCGGCGTGTGGGAATGTGAGTGAGACCACCCAGGGCCGTGGGATCCTGAATAGATCAGAGCGCAGGCACAGCATGTGAATGAAACTGCCCAGGGCCCCACTGCATCCTCATTCAACCCAGAGTGTGGGCCTGGTGTGGAATCCTTCAGCAGAACTCCCTGCAAAGAGGCTAGAGGCAAGACCCACCCAGCTGATTCAGGAGCAGAACATCTTGCCAGAGTGACACAAAGGGTTCAGCTCTAAGGACTGCAGCAGAAAGAAGTGGAGCACAGCAGCCAGATCCAAGCAACACCCACCTGGAGGAATCTGAACATTGTAGATCTGTACCTGGTGCTGAGGTAATAACTCTATCTAAGCTCTACACCAAAGGTCAGAAGACAGTGGTATACAAAATGACAAAGAGAAGGAACAAAATGCAGTCTCAGGCCCCAAGTCCACCCAGTACAACTGCAGAAGACACTAGCATAGAGGAAACTGGAAGTCACACACCTGATATCTCTGAAATAATAGCGTTGGAAGTAAAGAAACAACTGCAGAAAGGTATAGAAGAAATCAGATCAGAAATAATTTCTGAATTAAAAAAGTGATAACTATAATCAAAGAAGTACTAAGTGCTTCTAAAGAATACACTGATAAAAAAATAGAGCAGAATATAAAAATGATGGAACCTCTGAAAAAGCAATATAGGAAAGAAATAGAATGTATGAAACAGGTTCAAAGTGATATACAGGAAATTAAAACCTCAATCACAAGCTGGCAACACCTTTTGAGTGAAAGTGAAAATAGACTTTCTGACCTTAAAGACACTGTTGCAGCTAGTGAAAAAGTAAGATAAGATCTCTTAAAAACAACTAGAATGTAGGAAAAAATAATCCAACACCTGCAAGATGATGCAAAGATGAACAACATGAGACTAATGGGCAATGAGAAGGAAGGAGTCAATACAAATGATATAAAAAGAATATGGGCAGAAGTAATAGCAGAAAACTTCCCAAATATGGGGCAACAATCTGACATTCATGTAACCAAAGCATATAGAACTCCAAATACATCAACCCAATGAAAACCACACCCAGACATATAATAATCAAGGTCCCAGAAATTCAGCATAGGAAGAGTATACTAAAAGCCACTAAATAAAAGAAACAGATCACATTTAAAGGAAAACCCATGAGAATAACAGCAGATTTCTCTTCACAAACCATCAAGTCAAGAAGAGCATGGAGCAAAGTACTTCAAGTCTTGCAAGCCAACCCAGACTGATATATCCTGCAAAACTCTCTTTCAAGTATAATGGAGAAGTGAAATACTTCCATGACAAAGAACAACTAAAGAATTTCATGATGACAAAGCCAAGCCTACACAGACTACTACATGATGTTCTAGAGAGGGTTGATCACAGCCCCATGAATGACAATGGAAAGAACCCGCCAAATAGGGCAAACAATTAAACACAGGAGAATAAGAGGTATACAATAGTAATCTTTCAGTTATTCTTTTGTGTACCGTAGCAACATACTTCCTTCAGCACACTCTACAAATGGGCTTCTCTTCCACTCTATGGGTCATGATTCCATCTGGGTCTACAGGGTGGATTTCAAAGAAATAGCTGTAGCTTAGTCCCACAAGTGACATCTAGCCACCAGTAACTGTCATGGTCATTATGCATGTCCACAACACACTAGAACTTTGTGCAATATCCTATCCTCAACCTGTTTGAAGTGCTAGTCATTTATTTGCCATTCCAGTATTTATCTTATGTTTTACTCTTTTTTTAAAAAATTTTTTTACTTATTTATGTGTGTGTGTGTGTGTGTGTGTGTGTGTGTGTGTGTGTGTGTGTGGCCAGCTCAGCCCACCAGGGGGCAGGGCTGGCTGGCATGTGGTGCTGGGGGATTGAACTGCAGTCCCTGTGCTTTTGCTAAGCTCGTTCTAGGTAGGTGCTTTAGACCACTGAGCCATCTTACCAGCCCTTATGTTTTACTCTTAGTACTTCTTTACTATCATGAAAACTTTTTCTTAGTGCAATTGTTTTGAAACATTTAATTTTTAATTAATTAGTATTTAATTTTCTGAATATTGCTTAATCTTAATTTTTGTTCTAAGATTTATACTCTATCTTTGACTTACAATTTTATTTAAAAGACATTGTATGATATCTTCTCCTAGTATTAGAAACTTTAAAAAGCATATTTCCATTTTCTGTTGACTTTATATTACTTTTTCCCTGTCTTTTACACACACACACACACACACACACACACACAAATACGTGTATAATCCAACATAAGAGTGGTACGGTTTCATAGAAATCTTCAATGACATTTATAGTACTGCATAACTATCATATTGAGAGCTTTTTATTGTTCATCCAGGAGCATACTGCAACTTCTCTTGTCTTTTGAATTATGTTCTTTGTTATTTCTTATATGCTATGTCTGGAGGTATTAAAATATTTCAAGTTCGTATAACTAGAAAATCTTACTTTTAGTTTTTCAAAGGTATGTTTGCTAAGTATAAAATTCAAAGGGGACAGATCTTTGTTTTTTCCTTTCAGTCCTTTAATTAATCTAGTTTCTTTTTTTCTTTTTTTTTTGGCAGAACCAGAGATAGTCTAGTTTCTTACACACTTGGTCCTTTTTTTTCTTTCTAATGTGGAATAAGATGCTATTTAATTTTGTTCTTCTATGGCTAATATTTTTTATGTATATGCTTTAATGATTTTTTTTTCTTTGCAGTAAGTTTTGGACAATTTTATTTTTGCGTATCTTGGTGTGATTTTATTTAAATTTCTTGTGCAAAAGTGTTCATTTTTCTTGGAAATGCAGTATTATAAGTTGAACTAAATTTAGAAATTTTAAATCTTTAAATATTTATTGCCTACTCCTTTCTATTTTGAGAATTCTAATTATATGAATATAAGTTTCTTGGTTTTGACACGGTGAACTATTATGACTGATCTGTGAATTCTTTCTTCATTTTTATTTTGTTTGGTGGAACCAGGGATTGAACTCAGGCCCTTGCGCTTGCCAGGGAAGCACTTATTCCACGAGCCATCTCCCCGGCCCCCTTCTTCATTTTTATTTTGGACAATTTTTATTGTTATATTCATTTATGTTTGTAAATAATTTATTTTCAATTTGCAATCTGTTAAAAATTTTTTTTAAAAAATAAAGTTCAACTCTTTTCTGACACTGCAAGTTCTTCAAGGGCTTTCTTACAACTCTTGTAGTGGGACTGGGAAGTTTTACGTAATTGTGCAAATTCCTCTGCTACTGAGTGCTTGACAATGGTCCAGCCTTCATGTCTGGTACTTACCAATAATATACTGTGGTCAGCAAGCTGCTCTGTATTGTCTTGAAGGGAGAATCCCAGGGTGACCAAGGATGCCATGAACAGGTATCTCCACAGGTGGTAGCACATGGTGCTGGGCCAGGGTCAGTGCTGCAAAGAAATGTAATCCGGGGTCAGAAAGCAGGAGAGCTTCTTACTCCTTGGCAACCTGCCACTTCCTGTCCCCATCTGCCTTCCAGAATACCAACACTATCTAATTATTTTGCCTTAATTTTTTGCCTTCCAAATCTTCTCTTCTTCCTACTTATAGCCCTTGAAAGGACAAACAGCAAAGCATTTGATTCTGTACTTCTCCCCCTTCCTCCTTGAGTTTCCTGTGAAATTGGAGGAGCTTCCTTCATTTATCTTAGAGACATAACCAGAGAGGGTTTGTTGCCAAAGAGAGGAATATGAGGGATAAGTTTTGATTGTATTTCCCTCCAAATTTCACACTCAAGTTAAAATGTCGCTGTGGGTTTTATTGATCAATATATTTAATCTCTTTTAGCTCCATACTTACTTTTGTGCCTGCTCTGTTTCTGGATTATGTTTGACAGATATATGAGGCTGCGAATTAAGTCAGAAGGGTCAAAGGAAAGGCTTAATCTGACTCCCACACGATAAATTGTCAGGAAGATGGAAACCTGAAAATGGCCAGAAATTTCTCATCATCTTCCTGTCTTCACCATGCTCACCATGCTATATTCATGGAAGATTTTCTGCCCAACAGATACTGTGTCCTGAGGGTTTATCAGAGAGCAAGAATTTCTCTGAAATGAAGAGAAAAAGCCTCAGTGCTGAAGGCTGAGCTCCCTGATTGGCCCCTCTGAGGAAGCTGACACGAGTCACTCCACCCCGGAGACCCCCACCTGGCAACCATTGTTCACCTTGAATGAGCTGCTCTCTACCCGGCCTGACATCAAGCTTCTTGTGAGGTGGGCCAAAATTTCAACACCAGCCTTCCAGCCTTCTGACTTAAAATTTGGAAATTACTTGTCAGCTGGAATCAAGCATGCATGGCGACTCTGAGCTACCTCTTCCTCTCTGAGGAGGCCCTGTGGAGTGATCATTCCTACCCCCAGCCCCGTGCTGCCACCACACTGTGCTACCTGGTCAGTCCCTTAATCGCTGTCCTGAAGCCTCCATTTCTCTGGAACCTAGATCTGCCCAATGGGGCTCACAGTTTTCTCTTTTCTTCTCTTTAGCTGTTCCTTTTCATTACTGAGGAGGTAGTTCCAGTTTTCTCCAATACAATTTTACTTACAGTGGTGCTATTTTGACAAAGCCATGTATTTTAAAGCTTTAAGCTTCCACTAGGGCATAACTTCATTGAACTGTTAAAAACACATCATAAATTGATGATCATTAATCATTAATCTTTTTTTTCTGGAAAAAAAAGAAACACATCATAAATTGATGATCATTAATGTAACCAATTACCTCACCCTGGTGAGAACTGCTGGGCTCTTGTGTCTCGCCTTTGTATCTCTTGCTTGGGCTCCATGTAAAAGCCCTAGAACAACAGAGACTGGGGCCTGATATTCTGGAAATGATCCTGATCAGGGTCCAGTGATATAAATTTGTCTTCAAATCCTGGGTGTCGTTTCAGTGTTTCTGCTTGCTGCTGCAACCCAACTCTTAACAGCTATGATGATTTATATTAAAGCTAAAATAGGGAATATCAAAAACAACTTTTTGCAATAAACATATATAAGTTTGGTGCATTTCAATTTATTAGTTTTTCTTTTATGGCCAGTGATATTATATTTTAAAAATTCATGTACTATAAGGATTGGAAGAGCCTTTTAAATTGTGTCCGTTAGTATTACAGATGTAGGACAGAACTGTATTATGACTCTGTGAATGGAAAATATCTTGTACCTGCTTTATGTAGTAGTGGCCATGCTTTATCAAAGCTGTTATATATATAAATATATATATTTAGTACAGGGTCTACAGGGTCTCACTACACAGATTGGACTCATAGTGATCCTCCTGTTTTCAGCCTCCCAAGCACTGGGATTACAGGCATACACCACCTCACCCAATCTTAGTCACCTTCTCAGCACACCCTGGGGACAGGGCCAGCACTACAGACCAGGGATTGAACCCTGGTCCCATGCCTGCTTAAGCAGGTGCTTTAGTCCACTGAGCTATCTGGCCAGCCCTTACAGAAGCTGTTTTAATGATGTTACTCTAGAATGTTTTCTTTCTAGATGATCATTAAGAAGTTAATAAAAAAAAATAGTGCCAGGCACCACAACAGTAAGAGAACTTCACTGTTTTCTGGATATTTCTCTTTTCTTTCTTCTTCTTTTTTTAATGGAGTGTGCTGGATGTCTCCAATTTTATTCAGATGACTGCAGAACCTGAAAAAGCTTTTGCTGTTGTTGATGCATAACATACTGCTACTGTCTTTTATATAAATATACATGTATATATAATTTGAATTTTTGTAAACTAACTACTGTCAACTTTGGAAAAAGTTATTACAGTTTACTGTGTTGAGTTGGCATTGTACAGAAACTAACATCCATATTGGTCTAGAAATGTTCAACTTAACTTTTTCCCCGTTTGTACAGAGGTAACACACTGTATTAAATATAGAAGGTCTTATTATCTATGTGAGTTTGATTATAGAAACGAAGTATTCTCTAAGTAAAAAACAAAAAAGGATTTGAAAGATACTTTCTTCTACTGCCTTTAGAAGTATTGTGGGAAAAATTGAATCAACAGTAGCCAGGAGCTCAGGAGAGGAAAATTTTATCAATACTAGCGGACCCTGGAGGAGTCATCTTCAAAGTCTGAAGTGGTGATTACAGAGTGCTTATCGCATTTATAGGGTGATGAACAGAAGGTACAGGAACAAGATAAGGTTGTGCTGGAGGTCAGGGTGCAATGGGCCTCTATGAAGAGTATAGCTGCACTTGCAGCAAATTGTTTGTAGCATGTTGCAGAAGCTTCAGTGTGATGACAAATCATGTAATTAAGCTGAGCTCAGTGGCAGAGAACAGAAAGACTGCAACTTTATTGAACAAAATAGCTGCAGTTAGGTCAGGATTTCTGCTTCAGGAGTTTTATAATTTTTACTTCTAGGTTTTTAATTTATCTTTATAGTTTTAACCTCCAGGTTTATAGTTCATCTCAAATTAATATTTATATAGAATGAGGCATGGGTGGAGGTTCCTTTTTAGTTCCAACACCCAGTTGTTCTAGCACTGTTTATGGAAAAGTGTCCTTTACTCTGTGAATTACACTGGCACTTTGTCACAATCAGTGTGTACATTTTTGACTTTTTTTTCTGTTCTTATGTCACTGATCTAGTAGACTCTATCATTACATTTAACATCTATTTTCCCTCCATTCCCAAGGTTGTAATCATGGTTCTTGTATGTTCTCTTTTAGTTATGTAGAATTAATTTTTATATAGAAGGTACTTTTGGCTTTAATCTTTTTATTTTCCATGTAGATGCCCATGCATTCTTGCATTACATGTTAAAATGAATATTTCCTGTAACACCATCTCTATTATAAGTTAGGTCTCTATATATATCTTCTTTCTTTCTTTTCTTTTCTTTCTTTTTTTTTGTATTATAGTACAGGGTCTATACAGGGTCTAGGGTCTCACTACATAGATGGACTCATAGTGATCTGCTTGTTTTCAGCCACCCAAGAAATGGGATTACAGGTGCGTGCCACCACGCCCAGTCTCAATTGTTTTCTCAGTGTGCCCTGGGGAGGGGCCGGCTCGGCACACTGGGGATCAAACCCCATCCACTGCATTTGCCTAAGCAGGCACTTTAGTCCACTGAACTATTTGGGGGGCCCTATATCCTATTTCTTAGAGTTTTTTTTCTTTTTTTTCCCCATAATTTTATTGATAAACAAATAGCAATGAGACAGTTTCAAATCAAATCAGAAGGACAGTTTCAATAATTAACACATTGCATACATTCTTCCTAGTGGTTAATTGCTGTACAAGATGCGGACATATCGTATTTACAAACACCATTAGAACAAATCACCCTATTCATTAAGAGAATGTAACTATATATCTATCCTAAACACTTTGAATACACAGATACAAAATGGACATTCATCTGTATACCCTTTTTTTGTTAAGTTCTGTTATTTGAATATTTTAGGTGTGTAAACTCAGCAAAATATTCTAAAAGAGTCCAGTAGCCTGTAATAGTGTTGGGTCTTCCGCTTGACTGGCAATGTCAGAAATTGTTGACCTGAGTCACCTACAGCTCAACATAACAGCATGGCTTTACTTCTTATATTTCATTTTTATACTTTTCTGCTGGATGGTTAAGACCAAGGTAAAGCAGGA